TATCACAGACAGATGCAGAAAAACTAATCCATGCATTTGTTACTTCAAGGCTGGATTACTGCAACTCTTTATTATCAGGTTGCCCCAATAAGTCCATTAAAACGCACCAATTAATTCAGAACGCTGCAGCACGAGTACTGACAGGAACTAGAAAAAGAGATCACATCTCTCCTGTACTAGCTTCTTTGCATTGGCTCCCTGTAAAATGTAGAATAGAATTTAAAATCCTCCTCCTCACCAATAAAGCTCTTCATGGTCAGGCCCCTTCATATCTTAAAGAGCTCATAGTACCCTATTACCCCTCTAGAACACTACGTTCTCTGAATGCTGGGCTACTTGTGGTTCCTATAGTCTCTAAAAGTAGAACAGGAGCCAGAGCCTTCAGTTACCAAGCTCCTCTCCTGTGGAACCAGCTTCCCGTTGTGGTTCGGGAGGCACACACCCCCACGACATTCAAGAGTAGGCTTAAGACATTCCTCTTTGATAAAGCTTATAGTTAGGGCTGGATCAGGTGAGTCCTGAACCATCTCTTAGTTATGCTGCTATAGGCCTAGACTATCAGGGGATTTCCCATGGTGCACTGAGCTCCTCCCTTTCTCTCTCTTTCTGCACTCATTCATGTTCCATTAATGCATGTTACTAACTTCCCTTTTCCCCGGAGTTCTTGTGCTTTCTCGTCTCGCAGGTTCTTGTCGATCCTGGTGGAGCCTCCTGCCATGGTCCTGCTAGATTGCCATTGCCAATACTGTTGTTGCTGTGCACCTGTCTGTCTGTCGGTGTCTGTCTGTGTGTCTCTCTCTCTCTCTCTCTCTCTCTCTCTCTCTCTCTCTCTCTCACCCCAACTGGTCGAGACAGACGACCACCCACCTAGAGCCGAAGGATCTGTCCTAGGTTTCTGCCTTTTAACAGGCAGTTTTTCATTGCCCTTGTCACCAAGTGCTTGCTCATGGTGGTACTGTTGGGTCTCTGTAATTAATGTTTGAAAGAGTTCGGTCTAGACCTGCTCTATTTGAAAAGTGTCCTGAGATAACTTCTGTTATGAATTGGCGCTATACAAATAAAATTGAATTGAATTGAATTGAAAATTGAAAATTAAAGTATGAGCACAGCGTTTTACTGCAGCATTAGTTTATGTATTTAGTCGCTCACATATTGTATTCGCTGCAAACAGAAATACAGTGACTGCAAGGATCATGTAAATAGTATGTAAACTTCAGGCATTTGTTCTCATCTCACACAGACAGAAGGTGGAACTTCTTCTCTTTTCTTCATCTCTGACAAACACACTATAGACTATTGATTCACTATTGACTCCAGTTTGAAGAATTAACATCTCCATGAAGTTGTGTAAATGATAATGATCTATTAGTTAATTAAGTAGTCAAAGCTTTGAATTGTGTTTTGAACATTTATTTTGGAACATAGAATAGAAGAGTATCTTTATTATTTAAAACAGAACTTAATGCTAAAGTTGGTTCATTCTTAACAAATCATCTAACACAAGTCAAAGATTCACATTTACACTCAGATCAACAGAATATTTATTGTTCCCAGTCTCAACTACACATGTGAGACCACCAGAGCTGCAATAAAACTGTTTATTCTGTGAAAGTGAAATACAGAAAGAAGATTTTCGACTTGTGTGTAGTATTTCTTTCAATCATAACTGGACAATGATTTCAGTAACCAGACTGTTGTGCTGTCTGGCTGTTTTGTGAGGCAGTGATTGTTACAGTAACAGATATTAATGTGTTTAAATGGTTATTATTGTTTGTTTAATGATCCTCAGAGTATAAAAACAGTATGTTAGGATGAAGGTTAATATGACTGAAATATACATGTAGTATTTTTGTGATTGTTGTGCTGACCTTGATCATTGAGGAACTGATCATTAAAACATTTTATTTGTTCAAAGGTTATTGTTGTTAATAATTGTTGGTTTAATCGTTCAGTTTTCATGATTTTCTCAAAATCAAAAACAAAACAAAACAAAAAATAACACAGTAATTGTTTCTCATAGTCCGTCAGTCCAGTGAGGATGAGTACTATAAGTTTTTGTACAGCGTTGCTCCTTCCTGTCTCAATGTGGGTGTCGAGCACAATAATAAACAGCAGAATCTTCAGTCTTCAGACTGTTCATCTGCAGATACACCTGCTGTCTGCTGTTGTCTCTGGAGATGGTAAACCTGCCTCTAAAAGACTTAGAGTAGTAGATGTAGCTATTGTCATAGTTGATTAAAGCGATCCACTCCAGTCCTTTTCCAGCAGCCTGTCTGAGCCAAGCATTTGTGTAATGGCCACTAAACCCTGAATATGTGCAGGTCAATCTGTGAGATTCTCCAGGCCTTTTAACCACTGGTTCAGACTCAGTCAGTGTTTGACCCTCAGTACCTGCAGACAGTTAAACACATCATTAGTTACTGTAATACAGCCATATTGTCTTTGTATCAGGAGGTTTTTCAGAAAAACAATGATTGTTCTTACCTGCACAGTTAATAGACAGGATGAGAAAAACAACCAAATAATCCGGTCTGATCATTGTAAAAGCCAGTTGTCTCTGTCCAGTCTACAGTGTGTATGATTTAGTCTCTGTCCTTCACTCTGCAACACATATGTAGAGATGGAAGAGATCAGAGTTTTGCATTGACTCCTCCTCCTCAACATGATTTAGATCATTTTATATTATAATGATCATTTTTAAGGATAATAATGTCCATCAAGTTATTTGACCTGATGTTTATACCAATTGTATTTATTTATATTGTTCTGCAGCATTTACATCCATATACTGGATATATCATTAATTATAGCATTAATGTCCAAATACATTCTCAACACCTGCTGGTAAAAATATAATAATAATATAATGGGAACATTATTATCCAATATTATTGTATAGATAACAATATGTTAAATGTAACATTAAGAAACAGGAAGTCACATAACACAACATCAGCTGTTGTTTTTATAGTGTGTATGTGTTTGTTAGACTCTCCAGTTTGAGTTATCTGACTTTATATCTTCTGCTGCCACCTGTTGGTCTTTGTAAACAAATGTTCTGTGGAGTTTTTGTAAAGCCTCTCTGCTTCCTTTAACCACTGTGAGTGTTTGGCACAGTAATACACAGCAGAGTCCTCTGGCTTTAAGTTGGACAGTCTCAGATACACCATGCTGTTGCTGTCATCTCTACTGATTTCTGCATGTCCTCGCACACTGGTGGCATATGTGTTACTACTGGCATCAGACCAGCCGCTCCCTATCCATTCCAGTCCTTTTCCTGCAGGTTGTCTGATCCAGCTCATAACACAGCAGTTAAATGTGAAGCCAGATCCCCTGCAGGACAGACTGACAGTCTCTCCAGGCTTTTTCACTACTGAACTGGAAGGAATGGACTCCATACTCTGACCTGTACAACCTGATGAGATGAAAGGAGAGAGGAACGACAGAAGAAAGTGAGATAGTCATCTGGGAAGTTTTCTGGTATCACTGACTGACCATCAGTCCATGTTGTCTGATAAAAGATAAAACAGCAAGAAGCAGGAGAACTCACAGGGCAGAGAGAGAGCAACCAGCAGAAGAGTGAGTGTGTTCATCATCCTGAGGCTGGAGATGTGACCTCTGATGCTCCACACAAAGTACAAGAGCAGTCAGCAGGACAGAAGTACACTGCACAGACTGAAGATTTGCATCAGGATATCATGTGGAGGGAGGGGCTCATTTACAGCCTCTCTGTTAGAGTTTCATTTCATTATATCATTTATTATTTGTTAGTTTTTTAATGTAGCTGATTGTCCATCCACATAGGATACAATATCACATCCAAAAACAGGAACTTAAAAAGAGAACAATGAACAAATAAGGAAAATTAAATAATACCGTTGACCTGACCTGTCAGCATATAATGTGATGAAGGATGCTGGGTATTTGTCTCATTTATTGGCTGTTTGTAGGTCTGTTCAACCGCGTAGAAAGGAAGAGAAGAAAGGAACCTCAAAGGAAGAGAAGGAGTAACTGCATTGAATTGTAATCAACTTGTAATTTCAGGTTTAATATATCACTGATGTTCATGTTGGAGTCTGAATCAACGTTTTAGGATTTATTTTGCCAAAAGTGCTGATGTGAAATTAACATCTGGAACCTTTTTTTCAACCTCAGTTTGAATTATTGTTACACTGAGGCTTCTCAAAGCCTTGAATCAATATTAAACATCACCATAACATCAACATCACATTTTTTAATATATTTTTTATAGTGAAATTCTAGGGTTTGTACAAAACTCAAACAGCATTTAAACAACCTGACCACGAGCCAAAGACATAATTAAATTACAATTCTGACTTTTATTTCTTTTAAATGACCCAGAAGATTTGTTCAAATAAAATTTTACTCAAATGAGTTACATATTGGCTCCACTTTCTTTGGTTTTTAATTCAGAATTCCCTAAATCATTAAAAATTGTAAGATTAATTGATTTACTGATTGGTTTCCTTTTATTTACTTAGTGTAAGCTATTGCTGCCTGCTGCTCTGTAAGCAGCAGGCAGAATAAGAATAAAATTGGTAATTAAAAAAGTTGTGTAAATGATAATGATCTATTAGTTAATTAAGTAGTCAAAGCTTTGAATTGTGTTTTGAATATTTATTTTGAAAGATAGAAAACAAGAAAGTATCTGTATTATTTAAAACAGAACTTAATGTTAAAGTTGGTTCATTCTTAACAAATCATCTAAAACAAGTCAACATTCACATTTACACTCAGATCAACAGAATATTTATTGTTCCCAGTCTCAACTACATATGTGAGAACACCAATAAAACTGTTGTTGTTTATTCTGTGAATGTGAAAATACAGAAAGAAAAGTTTGGACTTGTGTGTAGTAATTCTTTTAATCATAACTGGACAATGATTTCAGTAACCAGACTGTTGTGCTGTCTGGCTGTTTTGTGAGGAAGTGATTGTTACAGTCACAGATTTTAATGTGTTTAAATGGTTATTGTTGTTTGTTGAATGATCGTCAGAGTATAAAAACAGTAGGTTAGGATGAGGGTTAATATGACTGAAATATACATGTAGTATTTTTGTGATTGTTGTGCTGCCCTTGATCAGTGAGGAACTGATCATTGAAACATTTTATTTATTCAAAGGTTATTGTTGTTAATAATTGTTGGTTAATAATATTTCAGTTTTCATGTATTTCTTCAAAATAACTGAAATTATTGTTTCTCTTAGTCCATCAGTCCAGTTTGGATGAGTACTGTAAGTTTTTGTACAGCGTTGCTCCTTCCTGTCTCACTGTGGGTGTCGAGCACAATAATAAACAGCAGAATCTTCAGTCTTCAGACTGTTCATCTGCAGATACAGCTGCTCTCTGCTGTTGTCTCTAGAGATGGTAAACCGGCCTTGAACTGACTGAGAGTAGTATTTGCTACTACCACCACCATCAGTGGCAACCCACTCCAGTCCTTTTCCAGGAGCCTGTCTGATCCAGGCCATCCAGTAGCTGCTAAATGACAATCCAGAGGTTGTGCAGGTCAATCTGTGAGATTCTCCAGGCCTTTTAACCACTGGTTCAGATTCTGTCAGAGTCTGACCATCAACACCTGTTAAACCAAGAAAGATATTCATGTCATATGTTACATTGGCAGCACAAATGAAAATATGTCAAATCAAGATCATTGAAGATGTTCACCTGCCCAGCAGATAGTTAACAGCAGCAGTCCTGTCCTATAGTCCATCATGTTAAACTGTGTGTCCACTGTTCTCTGTCATCCTCACTGCAGTCAGATAAGTAGAGGTGAAAGACATCTGCGTTTTGCATTGACTCCTCCTCACAGTGTGGAACTGGATTTGACTTGGATCTGAGTTACTGAGTAATTTTAATTACATTTTGAAAGAAATATTACACCTTAACAAATGTTAAATATGTTACTAAATATGGTGCTGATTTCTTCTCAAAGTGTTCATAAGTCAGATATCAGGAGAATGAAAACCTCAGTTGGAATAAAAGTTAAGAGTCAATAGAAATAAATTGTCCACTCAGACATATAAACTCTGTTACCTTGTGTAAAACAAAAGTTGCAGTAAAAACTAAGAGCTTTGTCACTGTCTGCAGTCAGATAATTAAAGGTGGAAGACAACTACGTTCTGCATTGACTCGTCCTCACAGTGAGGACAGAGTTTGGTCTTTAGTTTGTTGCACTTGAGAAACGATAATATAGGAGTTGTTACATCAGCCAAATAAATATGATTTAAAACCAGAAACTGTCTCTGAGAAACGAATAATATATGATGGCACAATTTTAAAAATGAATTAATGTAAAGTAGAGGACTGGAACATAAAACCAGAAAATTCGATTTATGCACTCTTATGTGACTATGTTTTATCTGTATTTGTAACAGTAAAATAACTTTTTTTGGTGCCTTAAAATCTAATTTTATTTAATTCTCTGTCCATCAGGGAGCAACTGTCCAACACACACTCACTTACTGGGAGCATGGCTGATGGTGGTGACTGTATAGTTCAGTCACAACCTTAAGGAAGTTCTGACAGTTTGTCTAAAGGCACAGTTTCTGAATACTGGCTGTGTGCATTTCTCTGTGGAATGAGCTTTTTGATACTTTCACAGTATTTATACAGCACCTACCTACTTTATAATCACACAAGAAATGGAATTCTCACTTTCCACAATATGGGACCTTTAATTATTGAAATATAAGAGAAAATGTTTCACTCCTGCCTTACAGAATAAAAGATGGGGATATTATTAACCAGTACATTGTGGTAGATAAGCACATTAAACCATAAAAAAGAGGAAGTGACAATCCACAGCCTCAGCTGGTGCTTTCACATTGTGTTTGTTTCTCTGTATGTGTAGGTACGATGCCACACTGGTTTTAAGATCTCCTGCTGCCCCCTTTTGGTGACTGTAAAAATTAGTTGTTTTTGTAAAGCTTATTTGCTCACTTAGATGACTGTGGCTGTCGAATCCCTGGCCATTCAAACCTGCCAAAGAAACAGATGTTAAAGGACACAAGTGAGAACGAGAGAGAAATAAACAGCAAAACATTAAATGTGTGCATTCTCTGATCAGTATTGCAGCATGAAGCAACGTACAGGGCAGACAGAGTGCTGTCAGCAGTACAGACAGTTGGTCCATCATCTTGAGACTGAATATGTGAACTCAGATGCTGCAGAAGTAAACCCTCTGAAAGCTCTGGATTTGCATTGGCAGTTTGTAAGGGAGGGGCTTATTTGTATAATAGATTTGAAATATATCAAATACATCTCCAAGATAAAAATACTTTTTGATTCTTAACTCTGCATATATGGTATATAACACTGTGAGCAGGGCCCTTAAGTACATTTAGCTTCTAATAGCCTACCTATGTACTTTTACTTAAATAAAACCCTTATAATAAAGTCTTACCTTTATTTCAGTACACAGCCTTTAGAAAACCAATTATTCTTGTAGAGCTGCTCACAGGGGAATTAATTTAGTTCAATATGACAAATCTACTGTTACAAGTTCTCTGTTTGAAATGAGGGATCAAATATGAGCATCAAAACCATGTGACATGAATTCATGATGTGTCTTAAATTAAATCAAAATTGGAAGAAATACGGTGCAATGATACTTGTTGACAGCCTGGACGACCTTCTTCAGGTCGGCAAATGAGAGAAACAGCCTGATCTTAATGATAAGTGTGTTTCTCTCTTCACTGTAACAGTGAACTGTGTTGAAATCATTAGTGGTCTGAGGGCTCCTCCTCTGGTGGCTTCATGTTACAAGTGTTCAGGCACTGAGGGGTTTTTGTTCAGGTCTACTGATGGTTTGTGTTATTGTGTCTCTCTGGCACAGTAATACACAGCAGAGTCTTCAGGCTGCACATTCTGTCCGTTTAGAGTCACTGTGTTACTGGAAGTTTTACTAAGTCGACACTGAACTTATTCTTCATTGAATCTTTGTAGAATGAATCTCCAGTATATTTCATTCCAATCCACTCCAGTCCTTTCCCTGCAGGCTGTCTGATCCAATGTGTGCGATAGCTGCCCAGAGAATAAGAGACCTGACAGGTGATGATCAGACGTTGACCTGGCTGCACAGTCACAGAGGCTGGCTGTGTCAACTGTTCACACTTCACACCTGTGGAGGAAAACATGTTGAATATTGAATCAGTGTGATAACAGTGAACAGTCAGTGTGCTGTGATCATACTGTCAGTGTCTCTGCCTCAGTGAGACTCACAGGATCCAGCAGCCAGCAGCAACAGAGCTACAGAGAACATGGTTGGTATTGAAGGTGATCTGATGGGAGCTTCTCTTCTTCTGCTGCAACTGACAGCATGATATCAAGTCTTTATAGCAGACAGTGAGGAAGTTCACTTTGCATAGAGAAGGACACTGACAGGCTATAAAACAAGGATCAACTGTCACAACGATTTTGTACAGCTGCTCAACCAACTCCAGTCACTGTGAGTCTCGAGCACAATAATACACATCAGAATCTTCAGTCTTCAGACTGTTCATCTGCAGATACATCTGCTGTCTGTTGTTGTCTCTGGAGATGTTAAACCAGCCTTGAACTGACTGAGTGTAGTATTTGGTGCTACCACTACCACTATCAATCCAAGCAATCCACTCCAGTCCTTTTCCAGGAGCCTGTCTGACCCAGGCCATATAGTAGTCACTGAATGTGAATCCAGAGGCTGTACAGGTCAATCTGTGAGATTCTCCAGGCCTTTTAACCACTGGTTCAGATTCTGTCAGAGTCTGACCATCAACACCTGTCAAACCAAGAAAGATATTCATGTTATGTGTTACATTGGTAGTAAAAATGAAAATATGTCAAATCAACATCAGTGAAGATGTTCACCTGCCCAGCAGATAGTTAACAGCAGCAGTCCTGTCCTATAGTCCATCATGTTAAACTGTGTGTCCACTGTTCTCTGTCATCCTCTCTGTAGTCAGATAAGTAGAGGTGGAAGACATCTGAGTTTTGCATTGACTCCTCCTCACAGGGAGGAGAGAATGAGATTGTTCTTGGCTTTCAGTATTTTGGTGAAACTGGAATCAATTTTTAGAAGTCAGTTTAATTGAATTTGCATGAAATGTTACTGTCATTACGTCATACTGTTGACCTTATTTTAGCTTTCGCTCTTGCACAAATATCCAGTTGCCCCATACAGAGATAAAAGAATCAAAAATCAAAGCTCAACCCTGGTCTAACTTCATAACTCATACGTTTAGGCATTGACTCCTCCTCACAGTGTGGAGAGAACCAGACTGGTCATTGCTTGTTGTTTAGTCAGAGCTGTGACTTGAGCCAAATTAATTTTAATCATGCATCTGAATTTAAAATTGGTGTAAAAGTCTGTACTCTATTTGAAATTAGAATTTTGGTCAAATAATATTCTGCTTAAGAATTATTCACAGGAAAAAGAAAACACAAAACACAACTGAAAAATCAAACTCTTACATGTTGTTTGCCTTTTCTTAAATGAAGCCTTTGTTGGACAAAAGTATCTGTTAAGTAAGTACATATCACATGTTACAAAAGTGAAACAAGGATCATAATAACACCAGGATTTAAATGTTTAAGTAGAAACAAAATCATCCCTAAATTTTGGATAATTAATGAATAATAAAATTGTGCAGTTTTACAATTTAACATTAAAAAGAAGTTGGCTGAAGACTCAGATTCAGGTAATAATACATTTACTTAACGGCTAACAGTTACCTGTTAAATATAATCATTAAACTGAAAGAAGATTTTTTCATCTTCACTGTAACAGTGAACTGGTGTTCATTATCAACAATCATTAGTGGTCTGAGGGCTCCTCCTCTGGTGGCTTCATGTTACAAGTGTTCAGGCACTGAGGGGTTTTTGTTCAGGTCTACTGATGGTTTGTGTCAGGGCCGGCCTAAGCAAAATTTGATTTTGGGGCCCTCTATTACTGCCATGTGTCTTTTTGGGAATGTGAATGTGTCCTTTTTAGGCAGTGGCCCTCTTAATACCTGTTCAGTCCTTTCTGAGTCTGACAGGAAAGACTCAGCTGGGTCAACTGGCGGAGCTGCTGAACCCTGCTCCAAACTGGATGCTGAAGAAGACACATCAATCTTGATGACCAAAGATGAAGGACCTATAGGGAAATTAAAATAATATTTTTGGACAAAATTATTCATCTCAGAATATTCTGCAGTACACTGAGCAATTATAAAGGCTGTTTTGTTGTTAACTTACCAGGTACAGCTGAGGTTGCAGAGAGGACAGTGGGCACAGTGGATGGAGCAGAGGATAGAGATGGACCTGAGATGAAAAACATGTCCCTTGTCATATGATTATATCTTATATTAGTATATCTTAATGAGATCATTTGACTAGAAATTAAATATATATGGTGACAGTGTTTGATCACCTGATTCATCAGCCTTGGCTGCTACTGAGGAGGTGGATTGCCCCTGGGCTGAGTCAGTGCCTCCTCCTAAATACTTTAACAGTGCTCCTGGGGAAGTTTCATATAACGTATGAGCATAATAGGGAGTTGATGTAAAAGGAATATGTTTATTTACTCACATAAATTACTGTGCTCTGCAGCAAACAATTGCAAACAACATACCTCAAACTATAAGTTAACTAAATTAATTCATTAATGTAAAACCATATTGCTAGCAAACGTCACCGCGTTTGTAATTAACGTTAGTTATTAAACATTTGCTGTCAAACATTGTTATCAAAAACTTTGTTTTGATGCCAAAAAGCGACCCAGAATAATATATATACACTGAGAATCAACTTATTCAAAGTGTTACACAAACACAACAACGTTAGCTTAATTAGAAAGCTATCTAACCGACCCATAAGAGAGAAGTAGTAAGACGTTTTGAACTAATGTTAGCTAGAAATTTTGCTAATAGACATACAGAAAAACTTCTCAAGAGGAAATAAACTAGTTAGGAACTTAAACTTGTGTGATGATGTGCAAAAAAAGCAAATGGAGCGAAGTCTGAGAGCTAGTTCAGGCAGTCAACTTGAGCTGTCTCACTCTCCATAATCACTAACAAAGCGCACCCTTCCAATCTGGCAGTCTATTTAAGCTGCAAAATGTCCCAGCTCTCCCTCTGCTTTAAGGTAGGTAGGTAGGGAGTGAAGAAGTCGGAGCCTTGATGCCAAAATCTAACGGGAGCGTACCTATGTTCCCCGGGTTCTATGTTCCCCGCTTTGTATGGGACCGGGGAACCCTAACCCTAACCCTAACCTTAGCGGGGGAACATAGGGATGACCCCAATCTTACGATGCTATACTGCTGTAATGACCATTTCAAAGATGAGTCGTCTGACAAGGGTTAGGGACAAGAGTAAACAGAGTGAAAAAGTTTTTAAAAAGTAATTTATTCTCTCAATTCAAGGTATTAAAATCATTTTAGTGAAATAATTGTGGTAAAGATGAGTACTGTAGGATTTTGTACAGCTGCTCAACCAACTCCAGTCACTGTGGGTGTCGAGCACAATAATAAACAGCAGAATCTTCAGTCTTCAGACTGTTCATCTGCAGATACACCTGCTGTCTGCTGTTGTCTCTGGAGATGGTAAACCGGCCTTGAACTGACTGAGAGTAGTGTTTGGTGCTACCACTAGGTTTGCTGAGAAGAGAAACCCACTCCAGTCCTTTTCCAGGAGCCTGTCTGACCCAGGCCATCTCGTAGTCACTAAATGTGAATCCAGAGGCTGTACAGGTCAATCTGTGAGATTCTCCAGGCCTTTTAACCACTGGTTCAGATTCTGTCAGAGTCTGACCATCAACACCTGTCAAGAGGATAAAAAAAACATCAACTAAAAGAAACTGATGATAAAAATAAAAGTAACATAAAATTAAGGTCAGATAAAATCTTCACCTGCCCAGCAGATAGTTAACAGCAGCAGTCCTGTCCTATAGTCCATCATGTTAAACTGTGTGTCCACTGTTCTCTGTCATCCTCTCTGCAGTCAGATAAGTAGAGGTGGAAGACATCTGAGTTTTGCATTGACTCCTCCTCACAGTGTGGAACTGGATTTGACTTGGATCTCAGTTACTGTTTTGTGAAACAATCAATCGATTAATAACATTTTGACAGAAATATAACACTGTAACAGATTAAAACCCCATTCGGAATAAAAGTTAAGAAAACTACTGAGAACTGTTTTCAGTCAATAGAAATAAATTGCCCACTAAGACATATAAACTCTGTTATCTTGAGTAAAACAAAAGTTGCAGTAAAAACTAAAAGCTTTGTCACTGTCTGCAGTCAGATTATTAAAGGTTGAAAAAAACTACGTTCTGCATTGACTCGTCCTCACAGTGAGGACAGAGTTTGGTCTTTAGTTTGTTGCACTTGAGAAACGATAATAGAGGAGTTGTGACATCAGCCAAATAAATATGATTCAGGCAAATCTGAATGTAATACTTGTTTAATTTGGTGGTCTTCAAAAGTTGAATGTCTTTTTGTTTTTTTAATCATTTTTCAATAACACAAACAAAAACCAGAAACTGTCTCTGAGAAACGAATAATATATGATGGCACAATTAAAAAATGTTATTAATGTTAAGTAGAGGATTAGAACATAAAACAAGAAAATTCCATTTATGATCTGTGATGTGACTCTATGTGTTATCTGTATTTAGTGCTTTAAATGCTCATTTTATCTAATTCTCTGTCCATCAGGCAGTAACTGTCCAACACATACTCACTCACTGGGAGCATGGCTGATGGTGGCGACTGTATAGTTCAATCACAACCTTATGGAAGTTCTGACAGTTGGTTTAAAGGCACAGTTTCTGAATACTGGCTGTGTGCATTTCTCTGTGGAATGAGCTTTTTGATACTTTCACAGTTTTTATACAGCACCTACCTGCTTTATAATCACACAAGAAATGGAAATCTTACTTTCCACAATATGGGACCTTTAATTATTGAAATATAAGAGAAATTGTTTCACTCCTGCCTTATAGATTAAAAGATGGGAATATTATTAACCAGTGCATTGTGGTAGATAAGTACATAAAACCATAAGAAAGAGGAAGTGACAAACCACAGCCTCAGCTGGTGCTTTCACATTGTTTGTTTCTCTGTATGTGTAGGTACGATGCCACACTGGTTTGAAGATCTCCTGCGGCCCCCTTTTGGTGACTGTAAAAGCGAGTTGTTTGAGGTTTTTGGAAAGCTTATTTGCTCACTTAGATGATTGTGGCTCCTGAACAGTAGTACACAGCAGAGTCCTCTGACTTTAGGTTGGACAGTCTCAGATACACCGTGCTGTTGCTATTATCTCTGGTGATTTCTATTCGTTCTTGCACACTGCTGGCATACATTGTTTTACTTGCATCATAGTAAATGAGCCCCATCCATTCCAGTGCTTTCCCTGCAGGCTCTCTGATCCAGTGCATTCCAGACTGACTGAAATCAAATCCAGTTCCCCTGCAGGAAAGACTGAGGGCTTCTTGAGGCTTCTTCAACACTGAAGTGGAGGGAATGGACTCGAGAGCCTGGCCAGTCAAACCTACCAAAGAATGAGAATGAGAGAGAAATAAACAGCAGAACATTAAATGTGTGCATTCTCTGATCAGTATTACAGCATGAAGCAACATACAGGGCAGACAGAGTGCTGTCAGCAGTACAGACAGTTTGTCCATCATCTTGAGACTGAAGATGTGAACTCAGATGCTGCAGAAGTAAACCCTCTGAAAGCTCTGGATTTGCATTGGCAGTTTGTAAGGGAGGGGCTTATTTGTATAATAGATTTGATATATATCAAATACATCTCCAAGATAAAAATACTTTTTGATTCTTAACTCTGCATATATGGTATATAACACTGTGAGCAGGGCCCTTAAGTACATTTAGCTTCTAATAGCCTACCTATGTACTTTTACTTAAATAAAACCCTTATTATAAAGTCTTACCTTTATTTCAGTACACAGCCTTTAGAAAACCAATTATTCTTGTAGAGCTGCTCACAGGGGAATTAATTTAGTCCATTATGACAAATCTACTGTTACAAGTTCTCTGTTTGCAATGAGGGATCAAATATGAGCATCAAAACCATGTGACATGAATTCATGATGTGTCTTAAATGAAATCAAAATTGGAAGAAACCTTCTTCAGGTCAGCAAATGAGAGAAACAGCCTGATCTTAATAATAAGTGTGTTTCTCTCTTCACTGTAACACTGCACTGGTGTTGAAATCATTAGTGGTCTGAGGGCTCCTCCTCTGGTGGCTTCATGTTACAAGTGTTCAGGCACTGAGGGGTTTTTGTTCAGGTCTACTGATGGTTTGCGTTATTGTGTCTCTCTGGCACAGTAATACACAGCAGAGTCTTCAGGCTGCACATTCTGTCCGTTTAGAGTCACGGTGTTACTGGAAGAGTCTAAGTCAATACTGAACTTGTTCTTCAGTGGATCTTTGTAATATGAAGCTGAAGATTGTTTCATTCCAATCCACTCCAGTCCTTTCCTTGCAGGCTGTCTGATCCAAGCTGTGTAGTAGTCGCTAACAGAATAAGAGACCTGACAGGTGATGGTCAGACGTTGACCTGGCTGCACAGTCACAGAGGCTGGCTGTGTCAACTGTTCACACTTTACACCTGTTAAAAAATGAAATCTTTTGTAACTGGAGCTGGACTGGATATATGAAACTGGGGAATTAATGTTTAAGAGTCAACCCTCCAAGTCAGCTGTTTTGTTTGGCTAGCATGTTATAATATAGATAAAATCAGTATTTTGTTGTTTTCAGTAAAAACACAACCATATTAATCTTAACAAGGTAAAGTATAAATTATCTTGTTATGAAGGCTCTGTTTCTCACACTTTGAGCATAATGGGCAGCACATGAGAACATTTACAAAAAACAAATAGTCCACAGTTTTATTGTGATCACCAGCATCTGCTATATTTCTGAATTATATTGCATTTTTAAAAATATGTTTTGGATTGTGGACATTTTACCATTGTAACTATGTTCTGTCAAGCTTTCTGTCTGATGAAATGTTTTCAGCTTGTTCCTCTTTTCAAACTAAATTCATTTAATTTATGGTTTCTACTTCTGAATATGACATTGGCAATTTAATAGGATTTAACACATGAAGGAACTCCGTCTATTACTGTTTGTTTGTTTACAGCATAGAAATATAATGTGGATGTATGAAAGTTCTTTTGTAGGTGGTGAAAAACAGATATCATTGAGATCACACTGCTGTTTGTTGTCTGGAGGTTTTTGTGCAGCTGCTCCACTGTCTTCAGTCACTGTGTCTCTTCGAGCACAGAAGTAAACAGCAGAATCTTCTGCTGTCAGGCTGTTGACCTCGAGGTACTGAGTGCTGCTGGACACATCTTCAGTCATGATGAAACGACTTTGAAAGGAGCTGGAATAGGTAGCAGAGTTCGTGCCTGTGCTCATCCACCCAATCCACTCCAGAGCTTTCCCTGGCCTCTGTCTTATCCAGTGAATATTGTAGCTTGTCATGCTATAACCAGATATGATACATGACATCTTCACTTTCTCTCCAGGTCTTTTCACCTCAGAGGGAGTCTGGTCCAGTTTGATCTCACTCCAAACTCCTGTAAGAAAAGAAATGGTGATCATCATCCAACTCATTTTGCAGGTTAGATATTAACAAAAGAGTTTGTTTCGTGTGTTTAGCAGATTTACTTTCTTACCATGAATAGTGACGATAAAGAATAAACCCCAGTAAATCATATTTTCTACGCTGATAGTGATATGATTTTTTCTAAGATTTATAAAATGTCCCAGTTGTTCTGTCATAAATGATATGAGAGCTGTTAATGGTGTGAATATAAGGAAGGAAGCATTTGCATAGACCTCCATCTGCAGGTCTAAAAAGAGAACATGGAAAGTAGATGTACATGTAGTGTTACATTTGTATGTTTTGCCTCTGCTCTGTCCTGTGTCCTGTTCCAGGTAACGCCCCACCCTCCGACTGGTCAGGCACACCTGCAGTAGTTTAGCAACTAGACCGATTGCCTTAAAGCTGCTGCGATGGAAGAAGACGGGGCCAGTGGGCCAAACCACCAGATAGGGCTGTGTGGCGCTTGTCGCGTGTTACCATTACTCTCCCAGTGGAGGGAGAGTGTTATTCATTTATTTATTGGATCAGTGATTTGTTTAGTTTAAATGGTTTTTCACTTCCTTTCTTTTTAGTAAGTTGTTTTGTGTTAACATTTGACCTCATTTACGTTTAAATAAATAGTTGAATAGTAAAAATCTTTCTGTTTCCTTCCCTTCTTTAAACACCCGGTTAATTATTAAATGTTGCGCCTCTCTTACAGGAAAATGTATATTATGTTATTATATATTATAATGTAAATACCAAATACCTGTCAACATTTGCATTGTAAAATACAGTAGTTGGATGCTACAGGGACAGACATTTTTCATTAATTATAGTCTTAGAATGCAATTAACATTTTATATATCTTTTTGGCCAAATTGTATATTATCGACATACTAACGGCATTTGTTCATGAAAGGACACATACAGTTGATGTTGCTGCATAATCCTGTATGATACAATAAATAATGCAAGACCTCATACAGTTGTGCTCATAAGTTTACATACCCTGGCAGAATTTCTGATTTTTGGCCATTTTTCAGAGAATATGAATGATAACACAAAAACTTTTCTTTCACTCATGGTTAGTGGTTGGGTGAAGCCATTTATTATCAAACAACTGTGTTTACTCTTTTTAAATCATAATGACAACAGAAACTACCCAAATGACCCTGATCAAAAGTTTACATACCCCAGTTCTTAATACCGTTTATTGCCCCCTTTAACATCAATGACAGCTCGAAGTCTTTTGTGGATGAGGTGCTTTATTTTCTCAGATGGTAAAGCTGCCCATTCTTCTTGGCAAAAAGCCTCCAGTTACTGTAAATTCTTGGGCTGTCTTGCATGAACTGTTTGAGATCTTCCCAGAGTGGCTCAATGATATTGAGGTCAGGAGACTGAGATGGCCACTCCAGAACCTTCACTTTTATGACAGGTCGACTTGGCCTT